TGGCGTGGAGAAAGTCGACGGCACGTGAGTATCGGGCTTTGTCCCCGTCCCTGGCTGCTTCCCACTGGAGCGGGAGTTTCCGCTCCTACCAAGGAACCATGAGGAGGTACCATGCACCGGTCAGGTGAGAGGCGGTGGTTGAAGGAGGATCCTCTGTTGCAAGCAAGTGTAGAATCCAAGTCTAACTTAAGATAAGATAGAATTTACCAGAAGGCTGTGAGGGGAGCACAAACTCAAGGAGAAGCCTGGAGGGGAAGGTTCTGGCAGTTTGAGCGAGCTAGGGCATGGGAGCTAATCAGCTGTAGCGTCTCCGGCTTTCCATCCTGGCCCCACTTTTCTTGAGACCCAAATTTCAGGAGGGAGCATGCGGTTGGCTTAGGGAGGGCCACACGGCCACCAGTGCTCAGCAATTCCATCAAACAAATTCTGAAACAGGCCGGGCGCGGTGGCTCACGCCTGTAATCCTAGCACTCTGGGAGGCCGAGGTGGGAGGATCGCTTGAGCTCAGGAGTTCGAGACCAGCTTGAGCAAGAGCGAGACCCCCGTCTCTACTAAAAATAGAAAAATTAGCTGGGCGTGGTGGTGCAGCTACTCGGGAGGCTGAGGCAGGAGGATTGATTGAGCTCAGGAGTTGGAGGTTGCTGTGAGCTAGGCTGACGCCAGGGCACTGTAGCCAGGGCAATAGAGCAAGACTCTGTCTCAAAAAAAAAAAAAAATGATTCTGAAACAAAGTGACAAGCTCGGCTGGGAGGGCCAGCTGACACCCATTGGCCCTAGTGGTTTAAGAGAGTGGATTCTGGAGCCAGGCTCTGCGCTAACACTGAGCAGGTTACTTCATCCCTTTGGGCCCTTTTCTGCATCTCTACCACCGGAAAAAAAACAGTACCTGCTTCCCAGGGCTGCTGTGAGTATGAAAAGGTGGGCGTGTGAAGTTGTAAGCACAGAGCCTGGCGTGGAATGGTAACAGCCAACACTTACTGAGTGCTTGCCGTGTGACCTCATTTTTTTGTCATGGAGGCTACAGGGTAAGTGCCTCCTGTGTGCCTGGCACTTGTGTGGGCATGTCACAGCATTACGGCATTACATGCAGAGCTAAGACACGCTTTCCCAAGTGGCAGTCCGAGGTCTGTCTCTCCTGGACCGCCCCCCCCCTTTAAATCTCTTGCACATAGAACTATGCTTGGTGTGCAGAGACACGCAATAAATCGTTACTGAATGAAAGAACGAATGGCAAGGGGAAGGAAGGGAAGGAGAACCAAAGGGAGGAAGGGAGGGAAGAGAGAAGGGAGAAGTTCCTTGGCAGTCTCCTTGGCCCAAGTCTGGGGTCACTTTCTGGATCTTAGCAAATCTCAAAGTGTTGAGATGACCCTTTGGGATTTCTGTCAACGACAGCTCCTGGGGACGCTCTTCCTCTTCCTGACAAGGTGGACTCCCCCATGGCCCTGGCAAGGTGAGCAGGACTTTGGAGACTTTGCCCTTCTCACCTGCACAGGGAGTCCAGAGGGTCTCTCTTCCCAAACAGATGCCTCCCCCAAAACGTGGCGGCCGGGCTGGCTGGCAGACGCTGGTTTCCGTGCGCAGGAGGGGCTGCTATTTAAAGTCCCTCATCCACGACTCCATCTGGAAAGAGGGAGCTGCTGTTTGTGGTGACTAATTGCTCCCCAGATGTGCTAGCTTATCTGGGGTTTTCTTAAAGCAGGGCCATGTCTGGGCAGATTGACGAGAACGTTCAGTGACCGTCTGAATTGCAGTAGCTGTATTCACTGCCGTTCTCGTTGCTACGGATTAACCAGTGATGGCGATGGTGATGATGGTGACAGCACGTACTTTTCACCTGACATTTGCTATGTGCTAGGTGTGTGCTGAGGGTGTCACGGGCAGCGTCTCACGAGTGATAAACATTCAGCAAGTGCTTACTGTGTGTCCAGTGCTGTGATAGGGGCTCACATTTAGTCACTCAGCAACCCTGGGGATGGGTACAATTCTTATTCCCATTTTACCATGAGGAAACTAAGGCTCAGAAAGGTGAAGCAACTGACTCAAGCTTACACAGCAAATGTCAGAGCCACAGTCTGCACCTACATTGGATACTGAGCTTGTGTGTTTTACACAAGCTTGGGTGGCTTCCTGCCTGCCCAGCAAAGCCTGCTGTCCCCTCTGTGTTTAGAGGACATAGGCTCCAGAAAGCACATCTTCCCTACTGAGACACACTGCCTGCCGAGTGGACAGGCTGTCTTTGGCAAATTCCCCCCAGGGACAATGTGATTAAGCCGGTTATTTTCTCTGGGGAGCTCAGCTGTCTGCTCCAGGGGAGGGCAAGGGCTCAGAGGTTGCTGTTCTTGACGTTGACAGTGCCCCGTTCAGCACTGACAGACAGGCTCAGAGTCAATCTGCAGGCTTCTATCTGCGGTCCTTGGCCTCTCCCCCTTCCACGGTGTCCCGGGATGTGAGTAGTCGTGCAACCCTGGACAAGATGCTTCACCTCTCTGAGCCTTGGGTCTTGGTCGAATGAAAGCTCTGAACCAGACTCAATGCCCTCTCCCGTCTCCAGTCCGAAAACTGAGTTCCTTTTTACCTCCCGCCTAAGACTAAAAATCTGCGTTATTTAATACCTGGAGACTTCTAGGACAGAAGAAAAAAAACCTTGAGAAGTGATCTAGTCTGGTTTAGCCAGAACCTGAAACCAGAAACGCATCCCCTTCCTGAAAGGCTTCCCGGAGGAGAAAACACCAAGTGGTCTCCCGGTTGCTTGTTGCAGGGGTGTACGTGCTCTGCCGGGAAGAGCTCTGTGTGGTCTAGACTGAGGAGTTCCTTCCGTGTCGCCACCTCTGAGAAGCCTTCCCTGCCTGCGCTTGCTAATGTGGCGTGTGTCCGTCTCCACTTCTCCCCCATCCACTCTCCAGCTGCCCTGCTGTGTGTGCTGCGGAGGAGGCTGTCCCCTGCAGGTGGCCTCTCCTGGGCTCTCTTCGCTTTCCTGATGGGTTCAGCCAGAAGGGGCAACGACAGAAGATGGAGGGTGGTACGGGGGTGATGTCTGTGATTTTTTCTCCCTCCCTCACTCCCAGGGACGGTGGTCCAGCGTGGCTCCTCCTCTCCTGGGGCTCCTGTAATACGTACCGTCCACTTTCTTCTTGCCTTTCACAGCTGAAGTGAGGACAGCGTCCTGCATTTTCTAATCCCTGATTTCCGCAGCATTTGTCCGAGTATTCATTCCATCTAGTCCCTTTCACCACTCTGCCCGACGCGTAACAGCCCCACTCCACTGGTCTCTCTCTCGTCCTCCTGCTTCTAAATCCCTTCCTAGCACGTGGCACCTTGTGTAAATATCTCTTTGTTTGTTGTGGGTCTCCCGCCTCTGGAAATTCATCACCATGAGGACGGGGATGTTGCCCTTCTTGTTCATGGCTCTATCCCAATGGCCCGGAACAATGCTTGGCATGTGGCAGGTGTTCAGAAAACACTTGATGGACGAGTAAGTCAGCAAAAGTAGCATGGCCACGTGCTCAGCACCGAGTTGGAGGGACACTGAGCCACCACTGTGCCCAATGCTCGCGTCTCGGCCTGTCCGTGTTTTTGGTGGTGGAGGGCGTGTTAGGGGAAGAGTGTTCGGAGGGGAAGGAACCCTCCTCTCCTACCGAGTCACTGAGTGGCCTCGTGAAAACCAGCTGCTGTCTCTAGACTGCTCTTGCCGCCCCTGTGAAATGAGGAGTTTGGATCGGGACAGTGGTTCTTAACGGGGAGACTGTGCCCCCTTGCCCAGGGGACAATTGCCAATGTCTGGAGACATTTTTGGTTGTCACAACTGGCGGGAGGTGCCGCTGGCATCTAGTGGGTGAGGTCAGGGAGGCTGCTAAACATCCTACAATGCACAGAGCATCCTCCTCCCCCCACAACAGAGAATGTTCCCAACCCAAATGCCAAGACCGCCAAGGCTGAGAAACCCTGGATTTGGATGTCTCTAAGACTTGCCAGCACCTACCCCCCACCCCGCCATTCCTCACCTGCATTAAATTTGCCGTTGTATCTCTGCAGGGTCTCGGTGCCTGAGACCTGGGCCAAGTTCAGCAACGACAACATCAGGCACTCTCAGAACATGCGGGCCAACTCCATCCGGCTGCGGGAGGAGGCGGAGCACCTCTTTGAGACCTTGTCGGATCAGATGTGGAAGCAGTTCACGGACACCAATCTGGCCTTCAACGCCCGCATCTCGGAGGTGATGGACGTGAAGAATAAGCTGCAGACACAGCTGGTGAAGGTGAGCAGATGTGTCCGGGGACTTTCGTCTCCTCTGCTAAAGCCGCGCCTTCCTCCCGCGAGCCTTAGCAGCATCTGGGCCCAGCTGCCCCCACTCCTGCTACCAAAACGGTCCCGTCCATCCCGAGGTCTACAATCCTGTCCACTCCAGAACGGGGAGGGGCCGTGAGCTGCCTACAGGGGGAGGGGGTGGTTCGAGCATCTGGGGTCTGTCCTCCCTGGCTCACTGGAGATGGAGCCTGGAGCTCGGTCCGGCTGTCACCACGGCCCCCAAGAGGCTGCCGGTGCTCCCAGGGCCCCTCGTTCTCCACGTGAGGCCCACGTGGCAGAGCGTGACCGGTGTAGATCAAGGAACCCCGGAGCCCGTCGTCCCTGCACATCTCCACCCACATCGGCACCTTTGGAACGGTGACCTTTGACTTCCAAAGGCCTCAACAGTATAATGATCCCCTGCTGAGGGCTGGGGTGCTTTTGGAATTTGGGGAGTTGGCAGGACTCCCCAGTGCTGTCATCTGTCTGCTAGTCCCACACCAACATGCCCTCTGGGCCACTCTCTTATCCGACTGGCCGTGCCTCTGGGTTCCTCCCTGCTTGTGTTAATGCGGGTGCCTTCTGGGTGCCAGACGCCGTGCCACAAGGAACAAAATGAGGAGCCGTGCGAAGATGGTCTCCATCCTCTGGGGACTTACATTCTGCTTGGGGGACAGTGGTGCCTGCAAAATTTATACCCAGGAAGGACTTAGGGATGGCAGTCCGGGTGGGGGCGGGGGGCAGGCAGCAGACTAGCCTTGCGTCTGTCTTTGCAAAGAGCCCTCCTTTTATTGTGTGCATATTTGGGGAGGGTTAGGGGCTGTAGGCAGGTCTGATGGAAATTACAGGGGCAGCTTCAGCCCACCCACCCCTGCCACCCTTTGGCCTGGTCTCCCAAAACAGATGAAATGGGTTTCTACGAAATCACTGCAGCATTATGAGGGGAGAAACAAGGGGGTGAGCCAGAGATTTCTGGGGGTGCCAATGCTGGGTGGAGTAGACGGGCAGGGGACATTTACACCCAGAACAGGTGGATAGGGAGCTGGGGAGACCCGCGCTGAGGCAGGGTTATCAGATGGGAGAGGGAAGCGGGGGTGAGACACCTGGAGAAGGCCTTGTGCGCCTTCCCTCCGTCCTTCACTGAACACCCGCCTATTAACCCTTTAGAACAGGGCTGGCAAAATTTTTCTGTAAAGGGCCAGGTGATAAATGTTGTCCACTTTGCAGGCCATATGGTTTCTGCCCAGGTATTGCAAAAGCAGCTGTGGGCAGTATGTACACAAACGAGCGTGGCTGTGTTCCAATAAAACTTTATTTACAGAACCAGGCAGGGGGCTGGATTTGGCCTACAGGTTGCAGTTTTGCAGACCCCTGCTCTGGAACTTAGCTCGAAAGTCGCTTCCTCCAGGAAGCCTCCTGACCCCCGCGGTGTATTTGCACTCATTACCTCTGGGTGGCCACCGCATCCCGGACCGCGTCATCGCGTCTTCTGCCCTACACATTGCGGGTAGAAGCACAGACTCTGAGCCCGACTGCGTGAGTGTGAATCCTCTGTGACCTTGGACAACTTTCTTAGCCTCTCTGTGCCTCAGTCTCCTTGTTTGTAGAATGGGGACAAGAATGGCTGCCATGAGGATTATTTGAGTTAATGTAGGCACACTACCTGAACAAGCGCCTGGCATGCGGTAGGCACCATGTCTGTGCTAGTCACTGTGATTTCACTGTACGAGTTGATCGACTTGTCTGCATCTCTTCGGAGCATCCCTCCCGATTCAGCCTCGCTCCCCCACTGCTCAGCACCCTGCCTGGCACTCCTGAAATCTTTGTGCTGTGAAGGAAAGGAGTCTACAGCATTGAGGTTGTACTGGTGTTTTGTTTTTGTTTTTTTTTTTGAGGCAGAGTCTCACTCTGTTGCCCCGGCTAGAGTGAGTGCCGTGGCGTCAGCCTAGCTCACAGCAACCTCAGACTCCTGGGCTCAAGCGATCCTCCTGCCTCAGCCTCCCGGGCTAGAGTGAGTGCCGTGGCGTCAGCCTAGCTCACAGCAACCTCAGACTCCTGGGCTCAAGCGATCCTCCTGCCTCAACCTCCCGGCTAGCTGGGACTACAGGCATGCGCCACCATGCCCGGCTAATTTTTTCTATATAGTTTTAGTTGTCCGATTAATTTCTTTCTATTTTTAGTAGAGACGGGGTCTCGCTCTTGCTCAGGCTGGTCTCGAACTCCTGAGCTCAAACAATCC